AAAGAAATAAATAAAAAAAAAGTTACAATTCTTTAGAATAACTATAGCTAGAAAATTGAGAGTAACTAAAACCATCTTTTGATTTTTCAATTTTTTTAAATGAAAAACTGTTGCTATCATTTTCAGTAAAAGAAAACTCTTCTACTTTTTTATCTTTATCTTCTTTTTCTTCTTTAGCTTCAGATTTTTTTGATTCTTTTAAATTTTCTTTGGTAGTTTTTTCGATATCTTCAAAAATTTCATTTACCATATTGAATTTATTTTCTAAGAAAAAAAAAAGAAAATCAATCATCATCTTCCTTTTTTTTTGGTTTAACTGGTTTTTTCTTTTTGTCTTTGTTTTCAGATTCATTTTTCGAGTACGTATAATTATGACCATAAGTAAATACAACACCACCATCTTCTGAAATTTTCATAGTTGATCCTTGTTGCTTGTTGCCAGTTTCAGTTTTCTTTTTTTCTACTTTTTTTTTATTACCTGATGACATCTTAAAAAAAAGTTTATGTATATTTTTATTTATTTAATAATTATTTATTTTTTATTTAATAATTATTTATTCTTATTTACCTTTGAATATTTGTTTTCTCGTAAAGAAAAATTGATAAAAAAATGTAGATAATTTATAGATTATTTTTTAATTTTAAAATATGTATATTTTCATTGAAATTAATTAATCAAGTAATTATAATCAAATATACTAAAATTATTTCTTTTGATTTCCTAATTTAATCTTGTGGCTAATAAGACGTAAAATAATTAATTAAACTAAACAATTAATTTAATTTTAATTAATTTATTTTAGATAAATAAAGAATTAATTTATGCAAGAAGAACAATCATGATACAAAAGATTGTTAGTTCAAACCAAAAAATTATTAATAGAACATCAATTTATATTTAACTTGATAAATTTTTTAAACAATTTAAATGGTACCACTTGTAATTATCGGAGTTCTAGTTACTGCTAATATTGTTGCATTAGGATTTAAAATATATAAAGATATAAAAAAATACGAACAAGAAAAAAAATATTGGAAGATTAAATAAAATAAATGTAATATAATTTAAATTATTTATTTTTTTTATAAGATAATTAATTTTTATTTATATAATTTTAGATGTCAAAGAAAACAAAAGTAAATATTCAAGAATTTGTAACAATTACAAATGAAGGAATTACATATTCTCAAAACACAATTTACGAAGAAATTCAAGAAAACCAAAAAGAAAAACTTAATAAAGATCAATATGATATAATTTTTGATAATGTACCTTTAGTAAGTATTTAAAAATATATAAATAATCATTTTAAATAAACTAATCTTTTTTAAGAAATCAAATAGTAAAAAGAAAAAAAAACCGATTAAACAAGATAATCTTAAAAAGGATTTAGATAAATTTAATGATTAAATTTGATTATGTAATACAATATTATTATAAATCTATTGTTTAAATAAATATATTAAATAAACAAAACGTATCAAATTTTTTTTTAAAAAAAAAAATGGAAGTAATTTACCAAAAAATTAAAGTTTATGATACACACGTTGAGAAAGAATTTCGTTTCAACAATAATAATAAACAAATTGTTTCTATTTGGCTTACATTAACTGAAGATAAAGATAAAGAATTTGGTCATTCAAAATTACTAGAAGAAGATATGAAAACTGATAAGATCCTGAACAAAAATGAAAGTAAAGAATTTGTAGAAAAAGCGATCGATAATTTTTATAGAAGGATAATAAATAATTATATTAATATAAGTAAATTGTTCATTAATATAGGTTACAAACCTGATAAAGATTTAAAAAATTTTGTAAATAGAAAAGAAAAAAAATTTTCATGTAGAGTAGAGGAACGTTAAAAATTTTTTTATTTTTTACATGTATAAATTAAAATTTTAAATTTTATTATAAATAAAAATATTTTATTTATTATTATATTTGTTGTACCAACAATCAGAATAGTAGTGATTATATTTGTTACAAATATTGCAATATCTTGTTTTTTGTTTAAATCGACAATCTCTTGTATCATGATTGTTTTTCTTACAGATCTTACAGTAAATTATATTGTCCCAATCCCAACTTTTAAAACCACAAGTACATTGTCTAACATATTTTTTACACCAAAA